GTTGCTGTGGGGGGCCGGGTATTGACCAATGGGAGTTAATGACGCATCTGAAGGGGTGCAACCGGGCAGACGCAGTGGTGTGCGGGGCCAGATCAGATATCTATAGGCAGGCCAGGGGGGCCCATGGGATATCGTTGCCTATGAGAAGTCTGACCAGGACTTTGAAGATCAAGGCTTCGCTTTCTCTCTCCGGGTCCAGTATCCCTAGTCCCCCCGTGGCTCTTGGCTGGGTGAGGACATCCCAGCTCACCCTGCTCATGCAGTTATGAGAGTCTGCCTTATTTTTCCAAAGGTAGGTTGTAAGCGCTCTTCTGAGTCTATTGTATTGTTGGGGTTTTAGCAGCCATACTGCCAATTTATACCAGATGGCTGCTAACACTGCATTATTAATTGCAAGAGCGCGGCCAACCAAAGATGTATGTAATCCGTCCCATCTGGCCAAGCGGTCAACCGCCGTGTTGACCAATATGTCACCATGATCTGGTGGGGGACCCACCGCCGTCAATCTCACCCCCAAGATTCGTATGGCCTCTTCCCGAGGTGCCCATGCGACACTCGGTTCAGGGGGGGGTGACTCCCCTTGGGGGTGAAGCCACCACCCTTGTGTTTTGGACCCCCAATTGACTTTCATATCTGCTGCCAGCGAGAAAAGGTGTATGACTTGGGTGACCGCATGCAGGCTAGTCGCGCCTGCGTTGATGAGCACTGTGAGGTCGTATGCGAAGACTGACGTGACCGGGATGAGGTGGTCCAGGAGATCCGGAATCGGTATTTTTCTGATAAGAGGGTGCACTCAAATGAGCGAGGCCAAGACCTCCATTACGAGAACGAAGAGTAGTGGCGCTATGGGGTCCCCTTGCCTGACCGATTTTTGGAGTCGGATTGGCGGTGACAAGTGGCCATTGAGCATGACGTTTGTGGTTGCAGTCCTATGAAGAAGCTGCACCCAGCGGCAAAAGGTCGGCCCAAAGTTCATTTTAAGGAGGCACATATCCAAGCAATCCCAGTCAACGTGATCATACGCATTCTCAAAATCGATGAACAAGATCGCTGCTTGGACCCCACGCTGGCGGGCGTATTTAATAGTCTCATTGACTAGGAGAATGTTATCTTGGATATTGCGATTGGGCATAAACCCCAACTGATCCGGATGAATCAGCACACTTTCAGTGACAGACACGAGGTGGGAAAGATGGTTGGAGCATGGAGTCTGGCAGATCAAGCATCTTTGGGAAGAAGAGGAAAGGAGGTGGAAAACAACCACAGAACTAAGGAGACAACCGAAAGGATGTCACAAATTACCTGAAAATCTGGGACTGGTTCAGGGAGCCATACCACAAGCATGGAAGCAGTTGCTACTGTCCGGAAAGCAATGGGGCATGGGGGACCGGGCCACATGGGTAGATGACAACGAACCTAAGGAGGTCTTCAGGGTATGGGGCATGGAAACCTTCAGACCAGACTGGTTAATAGCGGATAAATATGATATACTTCATCCCTCCAGCACCACATCCCAACTGGATACGACGACCAAAGCACCGTTACACATCCTTAAACAGCATTTAAGGAAAGTAAGGGTGATAGAAACAAAGTTTTTCACGGTTTACAACTCGGCAGTGCCAATCAAAGAACTGGAAGTAGATTCGGTGGAATGGGCATGGAACATTAGAAGTGGTCTAACACGGGTGTCAAGGAGAATAAATATTCTGCATGATACCACGAGAATAGGGTATAGACTGAGAAATCGGACCTACTCCATAACGCTGACTCTGCTCAAGCGATGGGAGAAGAGAGTGGGGGTCCCCAGAGGTCAACTGTAAAAAATTCCATGGACAAGCATAGGGGCAATACGGCTAGGTCGGGTCAGGAGTATGCAGTGGCTGATAGCCCACGTCGCACTCCCGGTGAATGTCTGGCTCAATGAAAGAAGAAGCCACACGAAGAGAAGCGCGAACAATGAGATCTGTAGGGTATGCCGAGAAGGAATACGAGAAACAATGTTGCATTGCTTACTGGAGTGCACAAAAGCGTTGGCAATATGGGACGAAGCCAGAGGGATTTGGGCCCAAGTAGCAGGGATCGCTTTCCCGAATTCAAATATCACAATACTGCTAGGCCTAAGGGTTCCCAAACAGTGGCAACCCCTTTCAAAAATGTATGTTTCAGTTGTTACGACAATATGGGCTTTGGACCATTTGGAAGCGTCGATGTCAGGCCACAATGGAGGGAACAACAATGCATAGGCAGGAGGCGAGGGAGAACTTCCTAGCACTCATCGAAACACATCTCAAGGCACAGTGGAAAAGGGTGAGGAATCAGGTAAGGCAACAACCAGAGCAAGAAGAAGAGGTCATGAGGAAATAGCAGAACATACTAGGACAGGGAGCAGTAGTTGTTATCCAAGGCTCACAACTGTTGTTTAAATGGAGAGGGGGTTGAAGAAGATAAGAAGTTAAGGGAATAGGAAGGGATTCAGGGTTAAGAGTCGAAGGAAGGGTTTAGGGGTTAAGGGTCATAGTCGGGTGAAAACAGGGAGAGGGGGTTGAAAAAGATAAGAAGTCAAGGGAATAGGAAGGGATTCAGGGTTAAGAGTCGAAGGAAGGGTTTAGGGGTTAAGGGTCATAGTCAGGTGAAAACAGGGAGAGTTTTAGGGTATAGGAGAGGTAATTTCTACCTGGACATCTTGGAACAGATAAATCAGGACAGCATTAAGACCGAGGGTTTAGGGTTTACGGTTTAGACAGAAACAAGGCAAAAGCTGTTATAGAGTTATAGAGGCTTCAAAAGGCGCATAAGTGTTCCAGCATGCTCTTGCATAATCATAGCTAACCAACAGCTTCATAGCTGAGAGGAGCAGATCTGGGATCAGACAGATTGGCAGGCAGAGTTAGTACAGGCTAGATTAGGCAGGGGTGAGAGGTGGTACATCCTTCCTCAGCGAAGTAATCAATGCTGCCCACTCGGGCCTCTCAGCCATAATGGGGAGGAGCGTGCGTGAGTCTTTTATGTGTTCCATATTGACTTGCCGGGGGAATAGGAACCGGACTGTCGCTCCCCAGAATGGTAGGAGCCAGAACCGTGAGGTTCTGTTTTTATTAAAAAAAAAAAAAAGGGAACCCCCCCCCCCCCCCCCCCCCCCCCACAGTTTTTTTTTTTTTTTTTTTTTTTTTTTTTCCCCTCTCGATTTATGCGTGTCATCCTTGAGCAGCGGGGATGCTAATCTTCCTCCTCTCTCTCTCCCTCTCCTCCATCTCTCTCTCTCTCTCTCTCTCTCTCTCTCTCTCTCTCTCTCTCTCTCTCTAAAAAAAAAAAAAGGGAACCCCCCCCCCCCTCCCTCTCCCTTGAAAATGAAAGCCCTTCCTCTCCCTTGATAATGAAAGCCCTCCCTCCCATTCCGGAGAGGGAGGCTGAGAGATGGCTACTGCATCCAAGGAAGGCAGCAGGCGAGTAAATTACCCAATCCTGACATAGGGAGGTAGTGACAATGAATAACAATACTGGGCTAGAGAAAGAAAGAAAGAAAAGAAAAACATCCCTATTCTTGCCTCCTCTCAGTCAACACAACAACATGAGTTTTTCTTCATTTGCCGGGGAGTGTTGGCTGGTCTACATGCTACCACATTGCGTCAATATTACTCGATAATGAAGATGCCGCATTCTGTACATTGTTTGCATGCTCCATCCAGTCTCGCAAAACTCGGTGAGTGGTAAGTGCAACCTACACACCTGAGGTAATAGGGATATAATCAGAAAATAGAAAGCGACAAAGTGCGTCGGATTCGGCAGAAGTTTGCCGTTGAGAACTACTGGGGAATGGGTGAATAGGCACCCTGCAGGGGAACAGGCTCTGCCTCAGTTGGTCGAGCAGAAGCCGGGAGAACCAAGGATGGGACAGCAGTCCAACGATGCTCGAGTAGAGGAACAAGGCAGCTGCAGAGAATGGATGGGCATAGCCGTGGATCGGCTGTCTAGCCGGAAAACGACTCCACTCGTCCCCTGCAGACGGCCTTACCCCGGGGTATCCGGGGGTTTGCGTCGTTGGGCGTACAGGCCGCTGCCTGCCAGGAGGACGTTTTTTCTGCGGCTGCCGGGTGAGAACCTGAGTCGTTGGGGGATTACGAGGAGGCAGGATAGGGTAGAAAGTACTGAACAAGTAGGGAAGGATAGGGTTCAGGGTATTTGCTAATGTTCTTCTGTGTAAGGGACGCTGGACCCGTTTTCCAGCAGGTGATGCTCCCCACCAATAGATGGAGCCTCTCCCCAGGTGCTAGCGGTGTCTGCCCTCACCAGCACCGCTAGCACTGAAGGAAAGTCAAAAAAAAAAAAAAGAAAAAAAAAAAAAAGGTGTAAGAGCAGCAAAAGGAGGCCTGGAACTCATGGTGGTTGCCTCCCCTTCCTGGTCCCCGTGGGGTCCTGTCAAAAGCATAAC